CGTGAAGCAATAGTTTTATTATGCTGTTTTGTTAATTTTGCACTCTTTAATTAATAAACCTAGTTAGAGGTAATTAGGTCTTTGTTTGATTAGTTATTTTCTTTACAACAAGATTAGGGTTTTCAACTTCATATTTGTAGGGTTTTTTTTTTTTAAATAAATTATATAAACTTGAAGAGTTTTTTGATTTTTAAATTCAATTCGTTATTTTTCGGAATCAATGTTTTATTGATTAAAGTCAATTATTCGATATTTCATGAGTCAATAAATTCTTAATTTTTTCAAATTCATGAGCGTGTGCGTGATGCTCATTTATGCTAAGCATCAATAATAACACACATCAATTCTTCATGGATTGAAAATTTCATTCAAATATTGAGATCCAACATATTAAGCATAAGTGACATGTCATATAAATCTACCAACTTCATTCAAATGTTGAGATCCACTATAAGTTTATCCATCGGTACTTAATGTAAAATGAGTACTGGTGCTCAGTAATTTTTTCCTATATATGTATGCACTCGTGTGTGTGTGTATTATTTTTGCACCAATGAATACTCATTTAGGTGAAAATGAAATGAACAAACACATCAACCTTTATAGAAGTGGAAGCTATGAATTTCACGTTATATAAAAAAAAATGTCAAAGCTACCAACTTATCATAATGAATGATATACCACTACGCCAAAAAGGTCTTTTGCAGCGGCCAAAAAACGCTGCAAAAGGCCTTTTACAACGTTTTATCGTGTGTTGCGAGGGTCAATGTTGCCGTTGAGGGAAGAGTCTACGGCAACGTTTAAAAAACGTTGCCGTAGACCCTTTGACAACATTTAAAAAACGTTGCCAAAGACCCTACTTACAATGGAATCTAATGATAGAATTCTCTCCTTACTTACAACCATAAACGATAAAGTGTCGAGAATAAGGTCAAATTATGAAGATTCACCGTCGTAAATATTAATTGTTTTTAAATAAACATTTAAAGGTGGAGACGGTGTGATTTGATCCTTTTTCTAATTGGACCAAATTAATAAATATTTAATTTTTTTTATAGAGAACTGATCGATTTTGTAAAAGGAGAAACTATATAGGATTGATTTTTAACTTCTTGGCTAATGAGCACATTTCTTTGACCTGGGAAAGGAAAAGGCACAAAGGTTACACTTTTGATAACCTCTAGCGTGAGTTGAGGTCGAAAATTATGTGAAGTAGGACATGATTGAACAAGAAGTGAGATTGAGAAAGAAAAAGGAAGAGAGACGAGAGAGAAGAGAAGGGGGAAGAAAGAGGGAAGAAGAAGGAGAAGGAGAAGAAATATTTAATATTCGATTAATAATATAATATTTATTAAATTACTCTTTTTAAATTGTTGAAAGTAAGGTATTGTGATACAGTATATGACAACGGATAAAGAAAAAGTAGGATACACAATTACGTATTTGTGAAGTAAGGATATCATTGTACCTATTGGAGAATAAAAGATGTGTTGCATTTTCCATTAATTTGATAGTTATATTGTCGTATTTTATGCTGATTCTATTTTTTTTTTTTTAAGAATATTGTCGGAAGTAGGTATGATGACGTATATAACAACTTTTGTAAAGTAAAAGTAGGATGTACAATTACGTATTCACGACAATAAAACACTCTCTCGTATTGTTCCAAGCAATGTTTGAATCTTAGATAAATGGAATGATGTTGGTTCGAGGAACTAAGGATATTGTTGTTTCTATATGCTGGATTCGAAAGAAACAAAAAATACTGTCATATTTCCAATTGTTTAGTTAGTTTTTAGATTGTCGAAAGTAGGGTGTGATAATTTGAACGATAACTCGTAAAAGAAAAATCGAGAGATACGATTATTTATTCGTCAAGATAAAGCACATATAACACTAATTTGAGTATAAAAGAAAGAAAAAGAAATACAGGCAAATCAGTCATGACATCAATATTCTCTAAAGAATCAAGGAAAAGGTCAAGTAGAGGCTCCAACTTGCCATTTCTTCCACACTTAGTTATGTAACTCAAAAACTAACAATTTTTATACTTATTCTTATTTACCTTTACTTTATTTGAAGGGTTATTGGCGCGAAACGTCC